TGAGTAATTTTTTCGAGGCAGCAAATGATTCGCAGAGTGGTGCAAAAATCAGTAAAGAAACGGTCGCGCATAAATGTGTGAAACGCCCTTGTCCAGAAATACCACTTCCACGGCCGAAAATTGAACTCGGGTCTCCTGCGTGACAGGCAGGAATACTAACCTCTATACTACCGCGGAATTGAAGGTGGTTCAATGTCTAAATAGTGACGCAAATTACCATTTTCAGCTACCAGCGCACATCGCGGCGGGCGTGAGTGGAGAGAGAAAGTTGAGTAATTTTTTCGAGGCAGCAAATGATTCGCAGAGTGGTGCAAAAATCAGTAAAGAAACGGTCGCGCATAAATGTGTGAAACGCCCTTGTCCAGAAATACCACTTCCACGGCCGAAAATTGAACTCGGGTCTCCTGCGTGACAGGCAGGAATACTAACCTCTATACTACCGCGGAATTGAAGGTGGTTCAATGTCTAAATAGTGACGCAAATTACCATTTTCAGCTACCAGCGCACATCGCGGCGGGCGTGAGTGGAGAGAGAAAGTTGAGTAATTTTTTCGAGGCAGCAAATGATTCGCAGAGTGGTGCAAAAATCAGTAAAGAAACGGTCGCGCATAAATGTGTGAAACGCCCTTGTCCAGAAATACCACTTCCACGGCCGAGAATTGAACTCGGGTCTCCTGCGTGACAGGCAGGAATACTAACCTCTATACTACCGCGGAATTGAAGGTGGTTCAATGTCTAAATAGTGACGCAAATTACCATTTTCAGCTACCAGCGCACATCGCGGCGGGCGTGAGTGGAGAGAGAAAGTTGAGTAATTTTTTCGAGGCAGCAAATGATTCGCAGAGTGGTGCAAAAATCAGTAAAGAAACGGTCGCGCATAAATGTGTGAAACGCCCTTGTCCAGAAATACCACTTCCACGGCCGAAAATTGAACTCGGGTCTCCTGCGTGACAGGCAGGAATACTAACCTCTATACTACCGCGGAATTGAAGGTGGTTCAATGTCTAAATAGTGACGCAAATTACCATTTTCAGCTACCAGCGCACATCGCGGCGGGCGTGAGTGGAGAGAGAAAGTTGAGTAATTTTTTCGAGGCAGCAAATGATTCGCAGAGTGGTGCAAAAATCAGTAAAGAAACGGTCGCGCATAAATGTGTGAAACGCCCTTGTCCAGGAATACCACTTCCACGGCCGAGAATTGAACTCGGGTCTCCTGCGTGACAGGCAGGAATACTAACCTCTATACTACCGCGGAATTGAAGGTGGTTCAATGTCTAAATAGTGACGCAAATTACCATTTTCAGCTACCAGCGCACATCGCGGCGGGCGTGAGTGGAGAGAGAAAGTTGAGTATTTTTTCGAGGCAGCAAATGATTCGCAGAGTGGTGCAAAAATCAGTAAAGAAACGGTCGCGCATAAATGTGTGAAACGCCCTTGTCCAGAAATACCACTTCCACGGCCGAGAATTGAACTCGGGTCTCCTGCGTGACAAGCAGGAATACTAACCTCTATACTACCACGGAATTGAAGGTGGTTCAATGTCTAAATAGTGACGCAAATTACCATTTTCAGCTACCAGCGCACATCGCGGCGGGCGTGAGTGGAGAGAGAAAGTTGAGTAATTTTTTTCGAGGCAGCAAATGATTCGCAGAGTGGTGCAAAAATCAGTAAAGAAAAGGTCGCGCATAAATGTGTGAAACGCCCTTGTCCAGAAATACCACTTCCACAGACGAGAATTGAACTCTGGTCTCCTGCGTGACAGCAGGAATACTAACCTCTATACTACCGCGGAATTGAAGGTGGTTCAATGTCTAAATAGTGACGCAAATTACCATTTTCAGCTACCAGCGCACATCGCGGCGGGCGTGAGTGGAGAGAGAAAGTTGAGTAATTTTTTCGAGGCAGCAAATGATTCGCAGAGTGGTGCAAAAATCAGTAAAGAAACGGTCGCGCATAAATGTGTGAAACGCCCTTGTCCAGAAATACCACTTCCACGGCCGAGAATTGAACTCGGGTCTCCTGCGTGAGATTTTGACACTGAAATACAACACAATTTAGAATCCAATGAAGACCACACCGTCTCATTGTGCCATCGTAATACTGCAGTGAATGTAAACCAGATAAGGGAGATACACAAAAGTAGAAAAAGCAAGCGGGTCATCAACTAAGCGTGAGAAAACAAAATGATAACAACAACTGGGAGAATGGCGCTATCGCATTGATCCCAGAATTATGCTATCGATATGAGAGATAATACAGATTTTCAATCATGCCATAATATTTATTGATACAGCACAGGCACGGGGTAATTGTTATCAGTAGTAAATTGTCTTCATCACAGGCCGATACTGAGCACTGGCGCACAATTGCAGAACCAGTAAAACAACAGTGTCGATTCAATACGGAAAAGAAAAGATACAGGATAGTGATTAACTGCTAACAAGCAGCATCGGCGAGCATCGAAGTGGAACTGCCGACTTGGGGACAAGAACTCTTCTAATATTAGGAGGCATCGTATTCTGTTTACACTTGCGCCTTCTCTCCGTGTTCTGAGTCGCCACTCCAACTGCACCGCCGCCCCGACGGGTAACAAGCTTGCCAAACTTGGACGTTTTAGGTGGGGAAGAATACGTGTTGGTTAGTTCCGAAAACGCCTTAGTGAAATGATCTTTCAGTGCGTGAGAAGTCGGCCTGCATGCATCAACAGGATTAATCTGAAATAACAAAAACAACGATATTCACGAAAGTAAAGATGCGCATTGGATTATCACCCGTGATATGTAAAAAACATATTTCACAATTTACCTCTCCGAGAGTAGTTGTATTACCGGTCGCGGAAGCATATACGTCCAATAATTCATGCGAAGCACTACGCCATTTCACGTCAAACGGGTGACACTTCATTGTTCTCAACCGATGAAAAGGGAGAAGGCAGAATCATACTGTATAAGACTACTCAATAGCATATCTCGACAACGCTCTCTTATATTGTATCATTCAGTGGTCACCCACATGTGTTGTTGACAACATGAAAATTCCTAGGCAGTTTTTGGAAAATTCTTGCCGATTCTTGTATGCTTTTGATCAAATTCGTATGAAATCTTCCATAATTAGCTTTGAAAACTCTTGAGCTCAGTTGAAAAAAGCGAACATATATTCATACTCCAACACTGTATAGGAAACTCCTGAGCTCAGCTGCTGAGGAAAGCGAAGATATATTCATACTCCAACACTGCTTTTCTCACATAACTAGCCAGACCTACACAAAGATCTGCAATCTTGATCATATCCTCCAGATGAAGATTCGACGGCAACGCCAAACCACGCCTTGAAGTCGCCGTATAGATATCAATGAGATGAACAACTTGTACTATCACTAACCCCAGTGAGAATATATCACAGCTACACTGCAGACATGATGGATGCGTTGGGCATGCGTATCTGTTGGGCTCAACATCATCACTCTACACTTCACGTTTTTATAAGTGTATATTATAGGAATTAATGTTATATACTGAATAATAACTCTCGAGGTTAACAACTGGATATAATAATTATTATTGTATACTATACAGGTTATACAATACGCGTATAGTTATATGAAGGTGATATTAGTTATAATGGAGGTTCACAACCCTTTTTACGTGGCGTAATACTCAGTGAAAAAACCCGATATTCGCAATGATATACAGTAGTCGCAAAATATATATTTTTCACTAGTGTTTTTCATATCACTAGGGTGGTGAAACTCCAATATATCTATTCCTACTATCATGTAAACATATATAAAACAATATTATTAACAGCAAGACCCCGCCACCCTTACTCAGCAGTAGCACAAGCTGCAGTGGCACTTCCACTTTGCAGTTCTTCAACGGTGAAGCAACCGCCAAAGTCGCACAGTTTAGCAATATAAGAATGTGATAGAAGAACCTGATAAGACCAGTAAAGGGAAGGAAAATTATGCACATGGTCAACTACATGTGTTGATGACAATATAAAAATTATAAAAGAGAAATTTTCGGGCAAGTCTTATTGGTTTCGTATAAATACTTCTACAATCAGTGAGGAAACTCCGAGCATATATCTCCCCAAACAAACACGCGAAATTATACACATAATCAACTACATGTGTTGATGAAAATATGAAAATCCTGAACGAATTTCTCGCTGATTTCTGTACACTTCTACCCGAATTCATACGTAAACTCCTATAACGGGAAAAATAACATATTCCTCCAACACCACCCCACATCCTGAGGTTACATGAAAAATACAATCCTCCAAAATCAACAATGGGAATCTCACTCTATAAACCAAATAGATGGATCTTCTCCCAAAATGACGACAACGTAAACGACTCGAAATAATGTAAATGAATATCCCTTCTCAACCACGAGCTGAATTACTCATAAAAACACATAAATTCGCGCTGAATATAAATCCATATATAGAAAGTGCTATTCCGTCTCAGCGACATAGGCAACAACAACGGAGTTTCACCACCCGTTTTACGCGAAGTAGAGTAAAACTCGGTAAAAACGCGATATGCGCACTATGCAGTAGTCGTGAAATATGTTCTTCACTACACCTTTTCAATCTCAAAATCAACAAGTGAAAGGACAAATCAGAAAATTCACGAAATGAAAGTTCAAATTCGTAAATGAAATTTATGAATTCGGAAACGCAAGTTTCATTTCGTGAAAAAGTCCCCTCACTCGTCGAAAATCAAACTTCGTTCGTCAAATTCGTCTTTCCAGTTGCTAAATTTGACATTCAAAAGGTGTAGTGAAGTTTCATCCACGATATGAAAAACGCTAGTGAAAAACATATTTCACGGCTACTGCGTAGTGTGAATATCGCGTTTTTCACGGAGTTTTACGCCAGTTCACGTAAAACGGGTGAAACTCCAGTGTTTCTCATATCACGGCCGCCTGTGAAACTCCAATGAACATATGTTGTCGAAGCACTACACACAACTTACGACCACCAGCATTACATTAGCAGGTTTAACATCCCTATGTACGTAGCCTTCACTATGCATAAACTCTAATGCTGATGATACGTCTCGAATTATGCCAACACGGGTCAGTGTTGATGGTATCTGAACAGGTATCCACAGGGTTTGAAATCACTGGAAAAACGTTCCTAATGTGATGACGTATACATGGAAGAATGTGGTCCTAAAAAAATTAAAAACGATTTTCCCCCCGAAAACATTATAGGTTTCTAGATGGTAAGAAACCTGATATTACGCGAAAGTCTCGAAACTGCACAAGACTGAATCCATTCTTGTGATTTACTGAATGACCGCTCAGAAAATGGAGAAAATCATACATACCCCTGAATGATGAAACTATATCACACAATGGAGTTTCAACCGTTTTACGTGAAGTGACATAATACTCGTTGAAAATCGCTGAATATATATATATATATATATATATATATATATATATATATATATATATATATATATATATATATATATATATATATATATCACTACTGTTTTCCATATCACGGGTGAAATTGCATTGTATTTTTCCAAGTTCAACGAAAATGGAGCCTTCATCGTCACACTGCGCAAGATGCTGCTACCATAACCCCGAATGAAGTTTCCGAGCGGCAAACAGTTGAGTTTACACTTAAAACGCCAGATATATATTTTCCGAATATAATACTCACTGATTATTAACGTCACTACAAGAGGACAATATTACTATATAAATACTCAAGAGTCGACGAATGATACTGTGCATATTAGACGCTATTATTTCCAAAGCCCGACAAAAATTAGCACTTCACCTCCACAAAGTGTGCGAAGAAGCTGACGTAAACAAGTCCCTTCAAGTGAAATATTTTTCTCCAAAATCGAACCCGTGCAGCCTTTAACCGATACAACCATACTAGGAAAATATGCTACTGAAAATTTCAGTCTGTACGACGATGGTGACACTGTGACACCTGATCATACTCAGCTTCCCCATGTACTACCGGAAGCGGGCTTATCCCTTCTATGACACTTTGCAAAGATGTAGCCATTTCCTCCATCGCGAGCAGACATGGACTATTGGTCGCACTCTCCGATGCGACGAAACCCAACAAGGTGACTATGTTGGGGTTCGACTGAAGCTTTGATAGCATCGACACTTCTCGCACAAACTGCGGGTCGTAGTCATCAGCTGAGGTACGACCAACTCCTCTGCTAACCTAAAGCACCATCGAAAATATATACACGCTTATTCTACAAAAAAAATAAAAAAAATAAAAAAGAAAGAAAAATAATACGGCAAAATAATGATTAGACGGCAAAATAAAGAAAAATAATAATAGAAAAAAATAAACACATGCATTTGTGGAAATTTCGGGAAATTTTTCTTGTTTTTCTGAATCATCGTGTAAATTCCCAAATTTTATGAGGAAACTCCCCAGCATATTCCCCCGACACTCGGGAGTCTACACCGACGAAAGTACTCGCGTAGTACAGATACTGATAAACTCATCCTAATAAGTTCCCGAATAAACAGTGTGGTATGAGTTGCACATGGTCAACCACATGTGTTAGTGACAATGTTAAAATTCTGAGAGGAATTTTTGGAGATTCTTGCTAACTTCTGCATGCTATGACTAGTGATGGAGCTCCCGAACTGTTCAGCTGAGGAAAGCGAACATACATTCCTACTCCAACACTGTAATTCTACACCATGCAAAGTTATCGCACACAAGCAGTTGTATCCTCGAAAGTGATCATAACGAGTTCCCAACCAGGCCTTCGTGACGAAGGGGCGGAGCTCACTGAGTTTACGTCCATGGACTTATTCAACAAATTCTATATAGGTCCCCGGTTCGATCCCCGGGTTGGACATTTTCCCGTCATTGATCTATCTGGTAGCCTTCTACGCTTCGTAGTTAAGCCAGAATAATTCTGCACGCACGCACAAGCGAAAATGCCTGTTGTTGCGGTATATGCTCCGCTCGCTTCGTTCGCTCCGCACTTCACTACTACACTACTACTACTACTACTACTACTACTACTACTACTACTACTACTACTTCTCCTACTACTTCTACTACTACTACTACTACTACTACTACTACTACTACTACTACCTTCACAGCACATCGACTACCGCGTACGACACCAGAACAAACATAGCCAAAAGTCCCCCCTCCTAAGTAGCCAGGATATCCCCAATGCCCTGCTCCAACACATATCTGTAACTGCGTAACGACCATATGCCCACGACGATGAATAGAGTCTACTACCTCCTCCCGAGTTAGTTTATATCTACGAACTTCCTCTGGTAGGTCGTCGCGAAGGACGCTGCCACTAGTGTCAACTCCGCCCCACATAGCGTCCATCTGATCCATAAGCAAGAACTCAATATGATCATTATCATTGCGTTCACTACGATTATCCATGGCAGTGTGGTAAAACATGCACATGGTCAACCACATGTGTTGGTGACAATATTAAAATTCTGGGAGGAAATTTTTGGAAATTCTGGTTGATTCCTGTACAATCCTCCTCTACTTTGTATATAAACTCCCATAATCAGTGAGGAAACTCCTAAGGTCCGCTGAGGGAAGCGAACATATATTACAACCCTGTTATCCACTGTAGAGATGACTGTTTCAAGAAACCACATCGGTGAATATACGGTTGGTGATCTCAACGAGTAAGATCCCAATTCGGGATGAAGATGATGATGACCAATCTACGTCACTATGTAACAGTGCTGTAAAACATGCTCGCTTTCCTCAACTGAGCTCAATAGTTTCATCACCAATCACATTCGAGTTCGTACGCCAATTGGGAAAATATATATACGAAAACTGTACAGAAACTAACAAACTTTCCTCAAAATTTCAATTCTCTCACCAACACATGTGGTTGGCCATGTGCAAGTTTAACAACACTGCTATGTTATCAGAGCTATAACAATGGCGATACATCCACATCGCAATCTGTATTTGATATACATACCACGAAAATATGCACATACTCAGCAACATGTGTTGGTGACAATATGGAAATTCTAAGAGGAAATTTCGAGGCGAAATGCCCATTTCTACCCGAACTCCTATCTTGGGCTCATCTGAGGAAAGCGAATATATACTTCCCAAACACCGATGATAACAGTAATAGGGAAATTAGTGAAATTCAGCACACTACCTTATGAATAGGTCCCTCCACCTGATTAACACCATCGTGATGATGCGAATCTACACAGAAACTTGAGATAGTACTAGTAGATTTCCAAGCTATTCTTACATGTTGCCTTATACGGCCTGTTCTCGGGGGGTATCACAACCGCTGAAGGCTGCTGCTGCTGCTGAGGGGGGCTAAATGGCGGTGATACCTAATCATACGATAATGTTAGACTTACTAGACACGGGGACACAAAACTTCCACTACGATAAGACTAAGATGTATTTTCGTACATCTCCTACTACTTTACATTACTAGTATAGTGATAGAGGTACATAGTATTAGTAGTAGTATACCTAATATGACATTTTCATTAGCAGTATAGTAGCAGTATTCGTAGTAATAATAGTATATAGTATCAGACTGATACTATACTAATACTGATACTATCAGCATTAGTACAAGTGTTGGTATTAGTATACTACTACTACTACTACTACTACTACTACTACTACTCTACCACCACTCCCCGTATTACCGTAGCTATGTTATTCGATTGAAAAGGACTACGTCCGCATGGATTTACACTAAATGTCGAGGATGAAGACACTTCGTTCACACTGCAGTAGTCCAGCACCCCATTAACGGGTTGATAAAAAGTATTGCAATAGTAACCGGGAGCATACATAGTTTGGTTGTATATAGTACCTAAGGAACGAGCAAATACGCTAAAGAGAAAATAATTGTAGTCGTGTTGGTTGCATAAACCTACGCCGACCTACAATGCTGAAACGATTGATGATCATAATGATTCCGAATGTAGTTATTTGTTCGTTGACGACCCGGTAGCCGGAAGACCGGCTTTGGTCGTTGCCAGAAGTTCGTTCGATAGGCAGATGCATAACAGCTTCGTCCAGTAGTATGTTCACAGGAATAATAATAACTAGGGAATGAACCTTGTATGCTGAGATTGTTGTATCTGATCGAGGAATTGATCTGGGATGAGCTTAACGGTCTTGGATACGTTTTAGATATTTCTGTCGAACCAGTCGCCATCACGTCACGAGGGAAAGGAAGGCGGCGACGTACTCGAGAAAGGGATAAAGGTAAAACTGAGGAGAACTATTCAGGACAGACTACACAACGAGAGAAACCACACTAGATGGTATTGGCCTGCACAGTACAGTGAACACTCTCACTAGGAGATTTCTATTGTGAATCTCACTTTAGGAATATCCTAAGGTGTCAGTGAATACATCAGAATGTGGAAGCGAGTATTGCTCAACACAACAAGAGATGTGTAGAGGATGTATGCCAGTACCCGGGTCTGCGTATGAAAGTAGCACGCAGACGCACAAGTACTCCAACTTGCAGTTGGAACATGCAAGCAACAGTCAATCAACACACTCTATGGACTGTGTGAACCCTTCACAATTGATTGCAAAGGTTACAAGATCTGCTCACAATCTAACGATCCGTAATGAATCAAAAACAGTAAAGGACGAATAATTCCGAAATTGTGACGTTTATACCCGTTTTAAATCAGGGGCCTATTTCACAAGCCATCATAAAGAACGAAAATTGTAAGGTACCTTACGGTTTCATAGCAAGTCGCTTTCACATCTCTACGATTTGGGGGGTTGGCGTAAGGTAAGGTGGCATAAGGCTCCTCACCGTAAGGCTCCTTACCCTACAAGGTGCAAGGAGGGCCTTCTCATGTAAGGCGAGTTCATAGGAGGCATTTTTGGCCCCCTCCTTGCGATCCTTACGTAAGGTGCCGTAAGACTGCTCGGGGGTTACTTTACGCACCTTATCGCACCCTCCTTACCATTTTATGCGAGCTTCGCTCCGCTTGTTCCCGACAGCCCGCGCGTCTCACCCGCGGATGATCTATCCCCTCTATCCCCGAACCATGCATTTTACCGCATACTCGACTTGGCGTTTCAGCGATCTACGATCATGACCGATTGCTCTCAAATGAGTTGATGGTAAAGTTTTCGAGTTTGTTTTATCCAATGGCAATAACCATATCCTTAGCTTCATTGAAACACTGCGTTGACTCTTTCATGCGCATCGGTGTTTGTTTAGGTTCTCCTCGTGCTCCTTATTGAGGTTCACGAGGTGCACCTTAAATTTAGGAGCATAAGGAGCATAAGGTGCAACTGTAGTGAAAGCACCTCGCGTAAGGTGTAAGGCTCCTTGCCCCTTGCTCCTAAATACAAGGTGCACCTTAAAGAGCGTTTCTTGTGAAATAGGCCCCAGCTTGATTTGTGTCAAGAGAGCTCTATGAACGATTATACTCATCATGATATCTTCATACGGACAAGTACCATGTTTCAGGGCATATTTCAATGAGATCATTTTTCCAGTTGGGGCGGCTATGCCATTCTGAAGTCGGCCTCAATACTCGGTCATTCTGACTACTCAGAATGGGGCACCTATGCCACTCCTGGTTTTCACTCTGTATGTGTGAATCTTACGTTGTGTACAATATCTGATTCTAATGGCCTTTCGGGGTGTGCTTAAATCGCCCAAGT